CAAATTGTTCGCTTTAATTTGCTAATAATGACCACACTACCCGCATGACTAATAGGATAAGTGATGACATTTTGGACAGGGATGGATGTAACCTGCAACCTGATTGCTAGATGGCGGCATACAACTGCAATTTTAGTTTAGATACTTGATGTGTGTAAAATGTATATTTTAAATGTCATTGCTTCCTGTCCATAGGGAATCTTTGTGCGTTGGCTGAAGGTGAATTTCAGCCAGGTGTTTATTGCCTGGATTCACTTGAAAGCACTGCGAGTGTTTGCGGAGTCAGTCCTCAGGTCAGCGCTGATGAGATGTACTTTCATTTTCTCTTTTAACCTTCTTGAAACATTTAATTTGAATCATTTTACCATGAGTGCGCTCATGATGATGTCTCCTGCTAGGTATGGACTACCGGTGAACTATCAGGCTCTTCTGCTGCACACGGACAAGAAGCGTTCAAAGAAACTCAGAGAGGATCTCGCATCACTGTTCAAACATCTGGACCCCACTGCCTCTAACAGCAAGACTGATGTAAGAGGCCAAATACATCTTCACAAACCAAGTTCATTTAAGCTTGTTCATGTAGCCTTCAGCTATCATGAAATGTTGAAATGTCATGGTGGACTAAGTATTCAGATCTGTATGGAGTAAAAGTCCTGCATTCAGATTTTGACTTTAGTAAAAGTGCAAATAAATTGGCATTTAAATAGATTTTAAACAACAAAAATGTTAAATAATTACTCATTATGCCCCAGAATAGAGTGGTGCAGGGATGACGTATTTACCCGGAAGTAAGCTGCACATGGGTTCCCTCGAGAAAAAAGCAATGGGATTTCTCCATAGGATTTTGGAAAATAGCTCGAAATAAGGTCTGTGGAAAATGAACCTGTTTGATAAATGCACGTTTTGTTCAGCTGGATAATATCCACATGTTTACCCTACTTTTATAATTTTCGAATCATAAATTTAATCGCCAGAAGCAAAAGGCTAATGTTATGCTATAAACGAACTACAGCAGGGTCGCTGCTTCAACGTCACGCCAACTTAAGATCCATATTCAAAAATACAGATTCAAAATTGTACAAGTTGAAGCATTTGTTTTAACAGTTTGCAGGAGGCAGGTACTTGCTTTCAAGCAGAACAGGGGCAAACAAACTTAGTGGGAGTGTTTACGTGTTCGGTGTAATGACGTACAACGTCTTCGACAACTTCTGTAGTCCTATTCAGCCACTTGTTAACAACCATAGTTTTTCAGACACGTAAACTCTTCAGAAATCACCAGTGGGGTCACTGCTGATGTATTTAATGTCGTAAAACAAAACGTGATCCGTCTCTTTTGTGTCAACCACAGACCTTATTTCGAGCTATTTTCCAAAGTCCTATGGATAAATCCCATTGACTCTGAGACGAGGGAACCGATAGTGGTAAAATGCTAACTCACTTCTGGGTTTTAAGACTCGTCACATAAGTTGCACCTGGTAGAGGTGGGGTTCATTTTGTTCTCCAATATAACATCATCATTTGTTTGTTAACTGTATTATGTATAAATGATCTGAACATGCAACGTAATGTCCAGGTTATCAGATACATGTAGTGGAATCAAAATAACAGTGTGTTATCACTGTTAAATCTAGTTTTGTTAGAATGAAGCTAAATGTGGTGAGTAGTAATTACACAATTTTGATAATTGTTCACCAAGACCCAAGAGTAAGTCAGAGTACTTGTCAAGTCAGATTAAATGTTGATGTGAGATGAGCATGTCAACCATCTGCTGACTTTAAATGACATTTGTCTTGCCAGTGAAATGTGGGCAAAGGCAGAGAGCAGTAACAGCAGAAATAGTAACATTTAGAAAAAAAGAGTTTGTAGTTTTGGTGGTTTTATGGGCAAGAAAATAATGAATGTTCAGATACAAACTACTATAATCTTTGATCGGACAATCCATTATTTTATTTTTAACCTTGTTTTTTTTTAAACCAAGGTTATTGATAAAAAGCAGTCCATTAAAAAAGTATGTCTATGTTGTTGTTTTTTTTATCTTCAACGGTAATGGATAAGAATCAATCAGATTCTGATTTTAGCTAAATATCTTCCAAATTTGTATTTATTTTATTCATTTGGGCAAAAAAGGGCTATGTACAGCAAAGACATGTACACATTCAAATAAGGCCAAGATTTGCACAATTAAAAAAATATATAGAAAAGAAAAACTGCCTGATTTGAACTATGAACATACTCCTGCAGCTCTGGTTCAAAGTGTTTGTCACATGCTGTTTTCTGAGGTCTCCTCTCTCTGCCGAGCAGGTGAGCTTTGACATCCCAGGACTCTGTCAGCCTGAGTACCTCTCCTACATCTGCTTCTACATCAACACCAACCTGCTGGAGCTCAGCTAGCATTAATCAAAAAGATGAGCCACACAAAGACCAAGCAATGAGAGTCCTGTCGATCATCTGGTGGAGTGGGCCAATCAGAGCCGGGGAGACAAAGACCCTCAACTATAGAATAAAACACATCCAGTGATCCACGAGAAGATCTGTCTTTGGACGCAGAAATAACAGTCCAGCTTCCCACAAGTGTAAATACTCATTGAACAGTGGATGCATTTTGAGTTCCTTTTCAATACAAAATCAGCTGCACATGGACTACTTTTTGTGCACATGGAACTGCGGAATAATTTAATAATACAATGACACACACTGTGATTTGAATGTTGATGTACAGCTTAAAGCATTTTAATTGAGTTTATCTTCCTAGTAACCTCAAAAAGCCATCACGGTGGGGTATAGTGTTTCTCTTTCATGCAGGTTTCACATTATATAACACTGCACAACTGTACATATCACTTTTATTTTAACATGTATTTAATCTGAATGTTTTTTAATGTAATGCTTTCAATGGTGGAAGAAGAACTCAGTTAATTAAGTACCACAATAGTCACTCAATGCAAATATAATAACCCAAGGGTAGTTTTCATTGTCATTGTCATTGCATTATTGGAAAAAACCAGTAAAGCCATTTGCAGCTCCAGAGGGAGCTGTGAAGTCCGATAAATTGCCTCATAATGATGTCACTTGAGTCAGCATTGGCTTGGGCTTTAATAAAATTGCGGGTGGAGTTAGAAAGAAGTTAGCTCACTTCTGTAGCCTGTTGCTCGTCTCTGCTTGTAGCTACATTAGCCGCTAGTAGCATAACACATTGTCAACGGAATCGTCATTTGTTGAGTTGCATTGTGGGTTATGTCAGAAAGAAGAATGTATGAAATAAAATAATATTTCTCTGGTTACGCTGCATTGACTATTGTTTTTTATGATTTAAAATTTTAAAAATTCGAATCGTGATCCAACAATTATTATAGCACTGTTAGCTAAACATGTGCAGTATTCTTTTAACTATAGACCATGAGATGATTTTTGAGGTAGGAACACATAGAAAAACAAACATATTTGCTGCACATAATTGTTTCATTTGTTTTACTTTTCTCTAACCTTTGATTATCTTATCATGAAATAAGAGTTTGAAGTCTAACTCTTTTAAATGTTATCACGTCAGAGTGGAAATTTCTCTTTGGTGTGACGGCTTACAACTCACTTTACTTGATTTCCATGTCCTAATATTCTATACATCTAGTAGGCCTACTGTAAACCGCTCATCTTTTATCAGCTGCAACATTACATTATGCTATTGAATTTTAATTAAATAATATAATATACATATATTTCTCAAATGGGCTGTTGAATCAGGACTTTGACATTTTGTACTTTAAGTACATTTTAATGCTAACACTTTTGTACATTAACTTTTTGAATGCAGGACTTGTAACAGAGTATTTCTACAATGTGGTTTTTACTTTTGATTCAGTAAAAGATCTGTGCACTTTGTCCATCACTGGTTACTTCACCACTAAATGCTATACTGTCTCTGATCACCAGAGAGCACTGTTCGTGTTCTGTGCATGTTCACAGCTTGAGTTTGGCCTCATAACATATATTTGATGACTTAATATGTTCGATATTGGAAGGAATCCTTTGGATATTACCAATTCTCCACTATTGGTAATGCACCTTCAAATGAAAAAAATACTTACCACTATAGGGAAGGGATAACATTTTGTCAGTATTAAAGGGGCCTTATTTTTCTCATTTTCAGGTTTATGTTTGTATTTATTGCCTCTACTGTGACATGTTGACATGCTTTAATGTTCAAAAAGCTCTTTATTTTTCTCATACTGCCTGTGCTGCAGCACCTCTTTCCACCCTCTGTCTGAAACCAGAGCCCAGTCTGCTCTGATTGGTTAGCTGGCCGGCTCTGTTGTGATTGGTCAATCACTTACGGATGTCCCGCCCCTTAATCTGTTACTTACAATGTGTTGGAGCGTTAGACAATAGAAGCGCGTGTGATAAATAGTGATGTCACTATGTTACAGAAGTAAACAAAGGAGTCCTATGGAGATGTTTCAGGCAGAGCCATTTACATGCACAAAAACCTTTATAGGCCTAACACACTATGAAAAGGGAGAATTCCCCCAAATGATGATAGGGCCCTTTAAAGAGTGCAGTGCTTGTTAATAATTAATGATAATGTAAAATGATGACTAATGATTTAATGAATAACTGAATTAACAGCCAAACAGGCTACATATTGCATCCCCCACACGTGAAAAAGATCCATCTGGATGTGTGTGTGTGTGTGTGTGTGTGTGTGTGTGTGTGTGTGTGTGTGTGTGTGGTGTGTGTGTGTGTGTGTGTGTGAGAGAGAGAGAGAGAGAGAGAGAGAGAGAGAGAGAGAGAGAGAGAGAGAGAGAGAGAGAGAGAGAGAGAGAGAGAGAGAGAGAGAGAAGTGGGGAAGTGTTAGGGAAAGCTGGCCGCTCAAGCCGTGCTCACACAGTGCATGAAACACTCTGAAGAGGAAACCTTTACGCGCAGATATAATGGACATCAATCCTGGTTACTGGTTTACTTTAACATGATATGCCACCTACTTGTTCATTCAAAAAATTAATAAAATGTGGACAGTTCCGAAACCAAAGTATAGAAGAGGTTCGTGCGACGAGGGGGAGATTGCTGTCAACATTGGCGGAGTCCGGGTGGAGCTTTTCGGGGATGTTTTAAACCGCTACCCGGAGAGCAGACTGGCGGAGTTGTTGAACTGCTCCACCCAAGATCACGAAGTCATATCGTCGCTTTGTGATGACTTTGATCCGGGCAGAAAGGAGTTTTACTTCGACCGAGATCCCGATGCCTTCAAGTGCATCATCGACGTTTACTACTTCGACGAAATCCACATCAAACCCGGCATCTGCCCCATCTGCTTCATCAAGGAGATGGAGTTCTGGAAAATAGACCAATGCGTTTTGGATGAATGTTGTAAAAGTTACCTCAGCGAGAAGGAGGAGGAGCTGACAGAGATCGCAAACAAAGTCAAAGTGATTCTGGAGGACCTGGAGGTGGATCGGTGCATTACGCGCACCCAGCGGTGCCAGAGGTTTTTATGGAGACTGATGGAGAAACCGGGGTCCTCTCTGCCGGCGCGCGTCATTGCCATCATATCCTTCCTGTCTGTCCTGGTCTCGGCGTTGGTAATGTGCATAGGCACCATCCCGGAGCTCCAGGTGAAGAATGCTGACGACAAACTGGTGGAGCACCCGACCCTGGAGGGGATCGACACCGCCTGCATGTTATGGTTCACCGCGGAGTACTTGCTGCGTCTCGCCTCCTCTCCGAACAAGCTGCACTTCACGCTCTCCTTCATGAACGTCATAGACTTTTTGGCCATCATGCCTTTCTACGTGGTCCTGACCCTCACCTCCCTTGGCACCGCGTCCATGATGGAGCTGGCTAACGTCCAACAGGCGGTGCAGGCGTTGCGCATCATGCGTATCGCGCGTATTTTCAAGCTGGCGCGCCACTCCTCCGGGCTGCAGACTCTGACCTACGCGCTCAAGAGTAGCCTGAAGGAGCTGGGGCTGCTCCTCATGTACATGGGGGTGGGCATCTTTGTGTTTTCAGCGCTGGCCTACACCATGGAGCAAAGCCACCCGGAGACGCTTTTCAGCAGCATCCCGCAGTCTTTCTGGTGGGCCATCATCACCATGACCACGGTGGGCTACGGAGACATCTACCCCAAAACCACGCTGGGCAGGTGCAACGCAGCCGTGAGCTTTCTATGTGGAGTCATAGCCATCGCCTTGCCCATCCACCCCATCATCAATAACTTTGTGGTGGTTTACAATAAGCAGAAGGTGTTGGAGACTGCAGCGAAGCACGAGGTGGAGCTGATGGAGCTGAAGAATGGCAGGGGCGTGCGCAGAAAAAGCAGTAATTAGTGGTTCCCAAACTTTTTTCCCCAAGGGGGCCCGTTTTCCATCGTTAGGTAAACTGATGACCACTGACTAAGTGACATATACAATGGATATTTCATGATATATTTAACAACATTGCAGAATAAGGATAGAATGTAGAGTTAGTACAAATAATGAAACTAAAACTGCAGGAAGTTTTAGATTTTGAGAATGTTTGATTATTTCCTGTGAATGTTGCACTAGAGATGAGTTTTCCTGTTAATTTTAGAAACTTTCATGACTATTATGACAAATTGTTAACTTATTGTAACTGTATACCTTTTAACTACACAACGAGGCTGTTTACCAGAGAGGGAATAGTTTGTGTTCTGGTTTTCACTTGCCTATCATGTCTATGCTTATAACATTTTTGAAACCATTTTAGTAACCATTTAATAAAATGTCATTTACAAAAGGGAATGCAATCATGAGTTATAAGCCAACTGTATATATTTAAAAAAATGTTTTATACAAGTTGTTGTACACTTCTTAAAGTCAAGAAGGCGTTTTGACTAGTGATGTGTCGGTCGCGAACGAGCCGATTCTTTTGAACGGCTCTTTGGTACGAACGAGGGGAACCGAGTCGTACTTGGTGAGAGCCGTTATTGTTATCGTTCAATCGTTGGTCCGCACTCGCTGCCTGCCAAAATCCACTCGCCTTTTAAAAAGCTTGATTTTGTTCCCCAAACGTATTCTGTGAAGACCCGCCCCTACTCTGATTGGTAGGTTTCAGCACGAGGAGTGAGATGGGGTGGGTCTTAACGGAATACGCGCGAGAGAGAAGTCATAACAAGTGGTACAGGATAGGTAGACAACGTGTTTTTCGGATGGAAAATTAGCCAAACTTGAAAACGCAGCAGCATTTGGATGCACTTCAACCAAAACCCAGGCAGTGATAAAGCAGGGTCAACAAATAATCTCCATCGCCACTTAAAAACACAGTAGCCTATCTAATATTAAGAGTTGCATGAATTTCATTCAAGGAAAGGCAACTTTATTTACTTAATACATACAGAGGGTAAATTCAAAATAGTACATTCACTGACCTGAATGACATGGATATGCCGCCACCTTGTGTCATGTTTACAATGCAGATTATTGATCGATCATTATCCTGGTGATTATTTCGCAGATAAACCTAGTATCCCCGCCCCCTTTAAAACAACAGCTCTTTTGAACGGCTCTTTTGAACGGCTGAAAGGAACGGAGCCATAAGATCCGGCTCCCTTCAAAGAGCCATAATTCCCATCACTAGTTGTGACCCCTGGGATGCTTTGGCGACCCCTAGTGGGAATGAGGACCCTTACTTTGGGAACCAGAGGATTGAGAGACTGTGGAGGCAGCAAAGACTTTTCCAAGACCTTTTACATTTTTCTTTCTGAAGGAATAAATGGTAGATGGTAAATGGACTGTACTTATATAGCGCTTTATCAGGTCTTTTCGACCCCTCAAAGCGCTTTACATACTACGAGTCATTCACCCAATCATGCAGAGCAGTACCACTTGTTCTATGGAAGCTAACATTTATTCACATTCACATTCAAAAGTCACATGTTCAAATGTAATTGGGCAAAACACATTTAAAACATCTCAAACCACACATGACATATAGTATTTGGTTTGCAGAGACTTTGACATTGAGACTTTTTATGGTCCTATGTTGTTTCTGTTGTTGTTTCTTTTTCAATCCATCATTTTGTTATTGCGAATGTTGTTGTTATTATTGGGTTAAAAGTTGTGCATGAATAAACTCTTTACATACTAACACCGGTGCATAGAGAATCATTCAAGCATCACCTGTAACCTATACTTATGAGCAAGGTGGCACAAATGTATGATAAGAAATACAGAATTCTTTGGGGGGGGAGTACAAATCGAGTTTGATCTTGTTGATATGTTATATATTTGGATTCAGTGCATTGGTGATGTATCAGTCACGGACTTGGAAAGGAGCATTGTGGGTGGATTTATAGCTGATAACATCTTAAGAAATGCCTGTTGAAAGATTGATCTATGCTGAAATATGACTAAAGCTGAGTTATATTTGGCAGTCCCCGGAAAACAAGCGTGTGATTAATCTCTTAAATCAGATTATGCTGAAGTTTGTTGTTAAAGGGATATATTTTGTGTTCTTATTTAATGGTTGAACCCACTGACCAGTAAGAAGGTGTGATTTTGTATTCCCTTGGGACAGATAGGGAATGTTGGGGGGAACATTTATAAATTATGCTTTTGAATAATCCAAGGCAATAAGAAAACGTTTTGTCACATAAAAAAACTATTCATATTTGATATTCATTCAAGCTGTCAAAACTAGTAGGCCCTTCTAAATTTTCACAAGTTGCATTCACTTGCAAAAAGATAATTATAATAATATTAAAAGTAATGCAATGCTTGTTTGAACCGGTTTGAGCAGAAACAAAACATTTCAAGACTGCAATACAATTAAAAAAAAATAAGTATGTTCAATTACAAATACATCATCATACGGTTCTCCCATTAATACATTTTGATATACCTATTTAGAAATTATTTAAAAGATATCTGATTCTCTGTAATTTATTATGTAACTACTATACTGTAAGTGCATCGTAACATTAAAAAATGTAAGCTCACGACAATCAAATACATTTTGTGGAATAAAAAGTTCAATAATTCACTCATAGAGATTTCAGATGTGTACATAAGTACAGTAAGTGTGCATAGTTATATTTTACGAGTTACTCTACATGCAGGACAAAAAACCACACATATTTATACATTAATTCAAATATTCAATAAGCTTCTTCTAGTACTACTACTAATTCAGTCATTGTGTGTTTGTTTCTTCCTGCAGCCATCTTGCAGGAATGATAACAGAAGTCGCTTTAAAAACTGGTTTATTCCACTAAAGCAGAGTTTGTATTGTAAGCATAAATGGGTCAGTGTCTCCTTTCCGGGTGAATGCCACTGCTGATGCTGGGAGATGTTTTCAGAGTGTGTCTTTATCAGCATGTTGCCCTATGAGTTACTTTGCATCGCCTGTGACACGATGCAAGGCAGCGGTCTGTGAGAATCTGCTGTCCCCAGCGGGAAAACACTTCAAAGTAAGGCTATGCACACCCACACACTGAACTCTCAAAAACACTCCGCTCCCTCTCTCCTCCTCCTCATCCTCCACCCCACCCGCTGTTTCTCTATGTCTGCATCTCGCTCCTTCGTCCTGCCTCCACCTCCTCTTCCACCGTCTCCGATGATGAGCTGTCAGCTTCACTGGGAGTTAGTGCTGTCATCTTTTTAGGGCGTGCACACATCCCAAACTTCACACTTTGGAAAGTCTTTTGAATTCTGAAGGTAAAAATTGCAGGAATAACTGATTCATTTATGCAAGGATGATGGGAAATTTACATTTAAAACACATTCAAGGCTTTTATGTCAATGTCAGTTTATGGAGTACATTTTTTTAAACATAAAAAGCATAAATGGATTGAAAATAAAAACCAGCCATACTTTCTGCATTTAAATGTGAAAACGCATTGAAGGTTTATACATACAACAATGAAACAAAGCAAACAACAATAATTATATAGGAAAACAATATAAAACACAATAATAATAATGATAATAATAAAAATAATAATAATAAATAAAAAATAGAAAAGGGAGGTGGTCCGACACAGGAAAGATATTGAATTTTTTTTAAAAGAAGAACAAAACACACTATTTATAGTTCATACCGACAAAAATTAAGAAAAAACAAGACAACACCAATAACAATAAATTGAAATAATAAAATAATATAAATGTTTTTTATTGAAGACATTTAAAACATAACAATAATAATAATAATAATATCAATAATAATAATTAAAAACAAGGTGATGGGGTCCCTATCAGCAAAGAGATTGAAAGTGTTAAATACTTTTTTTTTTAAAGAAATAAAAAGATTGGACTATAGAATTATCCAAGTCTGCTGTCACTTAATATATGGATAGATATAAAGGACATGCTAGCACTGAGCCATTGAGTGCTAGCGGGAGCTTTAGTAGACATCACCAAACATTGACTTTAACAGAAACATAGCACTTTATATGCCACACAATGTGAGACAAACTGACCTTCGTCCAAAATGTGCAGCTAGACATCTGTGCTACTAATGCACAGTTTCTACCAACTGTTGCTTTCCTACTGTGTTCGATCTGTGGCAAACCTGTAAACAAATGCATCAAAGACGTAAGGGCCTCCTCGTCAATATCTACCCCCCCTCCCCCCCAAGGTGCATTGTAATGCTTCACAGGAAAGGTCTCCCACGATCCTTTTAGTCTCCGAGTGCACGTGTGTCTGTAGGAGGATTTACAGATAAATAGATTTTGATTGAAGAATGGTTTAATACTGATAGTAGTCATTCCTAATGAGTTCCCACTGGTCATGTTATTGTAGTGTAGGCGTGTGCACAGGTAGGTTAGTCTAAAGGGAATCGGAGATTCACACTGCGCGTCTTCTCTTTTTTCTGTAGTGTTTCATGAGACACTGAGCACCATACGTTTTCTCCAATCCCTATGTAAGCTTTCATTCTGTTAAATTGAACAAAATGCAATTGTTCTTGGTAGTGACTTTGGCTTAAAATGTGGTGTGAAATTCATACAGAGCTGCTCCAACAATCTAATAGTGACCCATAGGGATGGATAACTTTTCAACGGAAGGACTTAATAAATTAATGATGGAGATAGGGTATCATCACCTTCAGGCCTTACTAGACATAGGATGTAATCTAAAGGCAATAGAAAATGATCCATTAAACACGCCAACAAATGTCGTCATGGTTTAACAGGCCATATTTCAAATCACAAGTTGTGTTTTTGTTCAATTCATGGTCAACGTTTGACTGAATTTGACATAAAAGAAGGTATGGGAAACATTTTATAATACATATTTTTAACATCTTGAAATGGTTTATGTATCTGCAGCTTCAGTATAGTGGATCTTATGGCTTTATGATCTCCAGTGAGGCCTAAAGCACACTTTTCTTTCCACAGGCTCCTGAGGCACTTTTCTTTCATTGGCCTCATCCAAATGTTCGTACGGGGCAAAATGAGTTCTAGCATGATCAGTTGCTTGTTGGACTCTGAAACGATGACCATGTCTGATCTAATCTGTGTTGATGTACTGTAATCCAGGCTGGCAGCTTCATCT